AAATCAACGACTAAATTATATAAGTTGATGTAACTGGTTCATGAAGTTCGAGTACTAGGGCTGGAATCTGAATTAGCCGTGTAGAAGGCTTACAATTAGAATCATAGCAAAGTAAATATTGCAGTAGAATCATAGTGTACGATAACATCGTTGAAAATTGTTTCAATAATTTATAAAGAACAATCATGTAAAATGTATTTTATTGGGAGCGATATTCAGCCCAGAAAAACATGCAAAAACAAACGTTTGCTGTTGGATTTCTTAAAAGGCATATCTATATGACTATTAAATGATTGGGATGGATCTGTTTACAATCTTTAAACCTCAAAAATCAAAGGAAGCTATTCCAATGAGATATACATGTTTTCCTATACTGCAAAGTTAAATGACAGTCCAATAGTTTCTTCATGTCTGTTTACACGCGACATATCAACAAACGTCAAAAATCATTAAAAGCAACTCCAACAAAATATACATCATTATCTTATAAGATATACATTTTAGTGAGCAATATTCATCATGAAAACAGGTATATTTTACTGGATTTTCTCATAGTGCAAACTTATATTATTTTCCATTAGTTTCTAGATGTCTGTTCCCACCCATCCCGGAAAAAAATAACCATACAATTACCATAAAATAAAATACAATTACAAGTAAATCTATTGCCAACAATCGATCCTATTGTGCGTATATAGTACACAAAATTTTAACATATTGTCATTACAATAGATGTACAATACGTCCCATATAGTAAGAGTTTTCAACATTAGAACAACAATACAATTAATGGTAAATGGTTCAAGTTTGTTCGGGAAAAAAGGATTTTTCGTATGGTTAAGATACATAACGACCCCCTTGTTCTATTGTATATTCCCCCATTTACCATATATTCTATTGTAGAAACAATACATTCTACTGTAATTTTATCGTTGTAAATAATACGATTTATTGTAAATACAATAAACTCTATTGTATGGTTACAATACATTTCATTGTACCTCTACGGTTCTTTTTTTTACGGGATGACATATCAACAGTTTTTCACAATGAAATATATCAGACAATATTCATATACTTATTACCTATCGCTAACCACGTTCGAAGCAAAGTATTATCAAGTACTAAGTATGTGAAATTACGATAGAAATCATTCCATATCGCAGTCATAGTTTTTAAGTGATAATCCAATGGAATCTATCAATCATCACATAGAATGAATAAATCTGCTGACATTGCTATGTTATAAGATGGATCCAATAAACGGTACATGTCGATTTGTTTCAGTGTACTAAGGTTGATGTTTCGGCAGTTTCATAATTATAATTCTTAATTTGTTTTCAGTAGGTGGCAACACCTTTACTTGTAGTTCAAACAGTAACTACCTAGGGGAAATGTTGGCTTCGGCAATACCTTAACCTATTATCGTCAGGGGGTAAACAAAGTCCTGGAGCACTCAAATTTGGCCAATAGTTGCTCTGAAACACAATGTATCCACATGCCTAAATTGAGCTCTTAAGGACGTTGTTTACCCCCTGACGATAATAGGTTAAGGTATTGCCGAAGCCAACTTTTCCCCTACGTGACTTCTGAACTATTTTGAATGTTTGGCTCCCGTTTGACAGTTTGACTCGGCTCGCAGATGACAAGCATTTTGAGTTAGTTCGCAGTACTCAAGTTCAGATTAACGGGGATCCACGGTATATACATTTTTCACACTGCGGTACTCTAACGGAACTATCAACTCTATACCACCGACAAACTGACATGACACTTAATTCTGACTTATGTCCGAAAATCGTAGACGGTTTTCTATTTTAGTGTCCGCTTTCAAGTGGACCCTACACGATTGCTTATATTGACAAAATTCGTTTTATCAGTGCATTCTGTATTGACGTCAATACATCGATATTGACAATATTTCTGTATTCAAACCACCGACAAACCGACATGAATGACCATAGTAAAAACAATAAAATTTCTGACCAAAGCACACTACTAACATCTGGCCATGTTCGTGGGAAATATTTAGCTAAGTCATGAACCCGCATGCAAAAGTTATGAATTGGTTCGTGTCTGATCTATAATGCACAAATTATTTTTATCTAGATAAAAAAATTAAAGGGTTGAATAATGAGAGAGAGAAGGATTAGTATTTTCCATTTAATTCCACTACTTTATTTGCTTATCCTTGACAGATGAGATGAGAGATCGTGTCTGCAGTTGGTTCCCCCACCCACAAACTAGCGAAGTGGCTAGTCAAAGAGTTCCAGAGTATGCCGAATCAGTTCCAGAGTAAAGCAGTTAGTAATACCCAGGAGTTCGCCCAGCAACTACAATCTTCAGGAGACATCAACGAGGACGAGATTATGGTATCTTTCGACGTCACAGCTCTTTTTCCCAGCGTACCGGTCAAGGAAGCGATCAACCATCTGGAGGACTGGCTATTAACACAACGAGAGGATGCAGCATGGAGAAACAAGGTTCGGACGTACCTTAAGCTGACCCGCCTTTGCATGGAAGAGAACTACTTCTCTTTCCGAGGTAACTTCTACAAGCAGACGAAAGGAGCCCCAATGCCCCAATGGGAAACCCCCTATCCTTCTTCTTGTGTGAACTTTTCATGGCCAACTTGGAGACAATCCTGAAGCAGAAAGGACTATTACCAACAATCAATACGAAACTAACGATTTTAAATTGGCTCACCACTTTAGTAGCCTATTGGTCCCAAGCAAACGATTAACGTACCCTATTCTAGTTGAAATTCTATTACTACACTATGTTTGTTTTGATTCGCTATGAAAGTTTGACAGATAACATCAGGGGTGTGTGGATTCATGCAGAACATGCAGGGGTGAGTGAAATAGCTTGGGACTGCTTGGGACCGTTGTTCTGGTACTGAGTGAGCCAAAAATCACGGAACCGAATTTTTTTCATTTAAATCAAAAATATAAATGTTTATTCTATAAACATATGAATAATTCGAAATAAATTAAAACCATGTTTGCAACAAAAATATATATGTTTGAATTAAAGTCATAAGCATGTTTATTTCAACAACATAGAATTTGGGTAAACGATTTTTAGCGTGTCCTGCATTTTTTTTTTCCTTCTTGTTTACATTCGGATAAAAAATTGCCCCAGCTTTGCCGATCAACTGAAAACGGCCCGCAACAAAACCGAAGTCATGGATCCGGAAACCCACCTAGGCAAGTGTCTTAACAAAGTTCCAGCTCGATAAAACCGGACGAACCTCACAGTATCGACGTCACTCTGTCGTTTCTGATGCCAATCCTTGTATCATCCTCCTCCACAACTGACGTCGGAAGAAAAACGAAAATTATAAATGGAACATCGAACGTAGAAATAGGCCGGTATGTGGACCAGCGTTAGAAACGACAAAACGACGCTAATATCACAAAGTTTCACTGGTTTTACTGAACTGGAACTTCCGGACACTCACCCCGACGGGTCCCGCATCCCTGACCAGTGCCCCAAAAGCCACAGCCCACCCTTAATCGCACCCGAAAAAGAGCAGGAGTTTAGATGCCTTGTCTGCAGATCGTTTTTTTTTTTTCATCTCTTTGCAATCCATTTTTTGCTTTATCCTACATTCAAATGCTAATATAATTTAAAATTAACTATGTTTCTTTCAAACATAAGAAGCATGTTTAAAATAAACATATTTATTTTTGTTTGCATAGTTGTCAAACCAAACAAAAATATTCACGTTCATTTTCAACACGAATATTTTTAAAATAAACGTAACATTATTTTTATTTTAAACATTAATATCACATGACTTCAAACATGGAATACGTTTGAAATGAACCTTGTTTATTTTTGTGGCCAGAACAAACTGAGTTTACGTTTAAATTTACCTCAAATATTTTTGTTTCAACGATAAATTTTTCTGCGTGTTGGTGGTCACGCCGTGATAAGGTTAACACTCGTTTATTTGTTTCCTTCTGTGAAAGCATGTTTAGTCACAAATCGTGGATTTTCTGATATTCTCCATACTGCAAAAATGATTTTCCTACCACTAAAGGGGCGACATCTCTCGGATCTTCAGTATAGCTACTACTCAAATCATATAATTAATTGGTAATCGTTTATGATGACTGGGCTTGGGGAAAACGTTTAGTTCATGAAAACAGTGATAAAATTAGCATTTGTGCATTTTTCAAAAAATGTTTGATTAAAAATTGGAAAAGTATTTATTTTAGCAGGTTTCTATCGATTGGCGTATTTGGATTTTAATTTCATCTATAAATGACAAAGTTACAAGCGTTCATAACCTAACACTATTTCACCACACATATTTTTTTGATTTGCACCTCAGTATAGTCGACAAAGACGTAGTTCTACGTAAAAAATTCTATGGTTTTGACAGTTCGGATCACTGCACATTTAAATCGGCCGTTTACGATTTTCGGGCATAAGTCAGAATTAAGTGTCATGTCGGTTTGTCGGTGTTCACACCTTTAATATTATTGTCAATAATTCGCCTTCGTGTCAATATATTTATACGTGTGGGGATCGCTTCACGGTCTCTTTCATCCAATGAAAACCCCGTATGTCAGGTGTTTTGGTATAAACACAGAGAACAGACGTTCAAGTTCGGTCAGAAACTTGTGTAAAGTTAAGTGGAAACGTCGCTGTTACATACCGCTAGCATCTCCTGATTTCCTCTATAAATGTATCGCTTTCGACCAATTGGGCGCTAGTATTGATAAATTATCTGTTGAAAATTGCCACTTGGCGCTACCAGCACTTAGTGTCTAGTGTAATTTTTGCAACGCCAGCGCCATCATGTTTTCAAAGAGGGTTTTTAAGTAGAGAAGTCGCCGTTAGTGGCACTTAAGTCAAATAGGAATCTTTACACAAGTTTTTAGAGAAATTTTGTTCGAGCCTTAATGTCTGTTCTCTGTGCTATTGCCGACCCATTTCTAAATTAGTGAACTATTTTTCTCGTAAGATTAAAACACAGACACATCACATACTGAATCTGATTACTCAGATAGAAACGGATTATTTATAATCTTCCATCAGTGCAGTTCATCATTCCGTAAATTAACATTTCCAAATTTTATCCGCAGCAAAGAAATAATCATTATCAATATTATGTTTTTAATGCAATTAGCTCATATTGTTGATGTACTCCTCGACTTCCTCCTTCACGAACATCCGGAACAGCTCGCCGGGTGTCATCGTCATTACTTCTACGTTGGTGGAATTGAGTTTTTCTTCCATCACCTGCTTCAGGGTGCTGAGAGCTAAATTGATGGCTTCCTTGATGGTCATCGTTTGGAGGTAGTATTCCTGTAAGCAGAAAACGGAAAGTCATTTGATCCCATCTAGCAAGAAAACCAGGCAATCGATATTACCTGTAGATTCTGCTGCGCTCCTTCGCTACCAGATCCGATAGCCTTGGCATCGTACCGAATGTACGTCCCTGAAGGATCCATGTGCCATAGCTGGGGTTCACCGCTTTCTATGCCAGCGAACAGGATCGCCACTCCGAACGGCCGGCTCATGGCCGAACCGGTATCGTCGCTGTCACCAAACTGGATCGCTAAACTGGACACAGCCTGTGCGCACGACTCAACCGACATCCGCTCGTTGTAAACGAACCAATGATTTTGGCACTCAACCCTTGCCCTGTCCAACAGAGTACGCGAATCGGCCATCAAACCAGAAGTGGCACAGCCAACATGCTTATCGACTTCGACGATTTTTTCCACTTTGGTCGGTTCCATCAGCGGCGAGGTGATTCGCTTTTCCACTGCCATTACAACACCTACGGGTTTTAGTAGAAAAGTTAAGATTATGTTTCAAAATTTAATGAATCAATTTTAAATTCTTACCCTCCTGAGTGCAAATCCCAATAGCCGTGGATCCGAGCTTAATAGCTTCAATGGCGTACTCAACTTGGAAGAGACGTCCTTCCGGCGAAAAGGTGTTGACGCCACGGTCGTATTCGGATCTGGTGAGGAACATCTGGAAGAAAATGTTTAACAATTGGATCCAGTTGTTTCTTCGGCAAATAACATCCACCAGACTATAAAAGGTTATGTTCCAAGTGACATAGCAGTTCAATAAATAAATCAGCACAATTAAATAGTACCAAATTACTAATTCACTACACACTTCATCTATTTCAGGACACCTCTGCAGTATTCTAGAACAAATTACTTACTTTTTTATACAATTTAGCAAGGATTAAAGTCGGTAAACTAACAAAATTCTCTGTTGCAGAAATGACAAACAACTTTTGATGAAACAAGTACCGCAACTATCACCTGTCAATCTAATTGCGTCCTGTGGGAAAGCGACAAGTAGTGACAGCGATTTAACTTAACGAAAGCAAATAATATCACGAATACGAATGCACCAAACAAAATTGTAATGCACAGTAAAAAAATGTAATATCGATCAACGTAATTCAAGCTGATGTATGAAATAATGATGTAATATCAAAAAGTAGATACAATATTACATAAATGGATGTTCGCAAAATCGATGTACACGGTAACCGCAAAATACCCAATAATGACTACAAAGTAAGCATTTTCGAGGGAAACTGGGACTACCCATTAAATGAGTAAAATTTTACCCATTTATGAGTAATTAGAACTACAAAAACAAGTAGTAAGTATTCATTTTTGAGTAGCAAATACTCATAAATAGGTAATATATTTACTCATTGAATGGGTAGTCCCAGTCTCCCTCGAAAATGCTTACTTTGTAGTCATTATTGGGTATTTTGCGATTACCGTGTACATCGTATAAAGTAATATGAGCTCTGTGCAGCTGTTTGGATGTAATATTCAACAATTTTTTTTTCTGTGTGGTATTTACACAGAAAAAAAAGTTGTTGAATATTACATCCAAACAGCTGTACAGAGATCATTCCGCCGGTTGTGTAATATTACGTTGTACGAAGTACATCGATTTTGCGAACAAAATTACATCCATTGATGTAATATTGTATCTGGTTTTTGCTATTACATCATTATTTCATACATCAGCTTGAATTACGTTGATCGATATTACATTTTTTTTGCTGTGTAGAGTTTAAATTGGCTCACACTGGACTAGCCTATAGGGCCACTCACATTAGATCCGTTTGCGTTGCGTTGACGTAAATTTGACAGTTAGACAATAGATTTAGCTGTCACTTTGCCGCAACGCGTCCGATCCGGATCTAATGTGCGTGGGCCTTATCAGCCCAAGTAAAGTGATTGACGCAACCCATTCTAGTCGAAATTCTAGTACTCAAATACTAAGGTTATTGGTAGGTTTTACCATAGAGGTAACTCTACTTGAAACGAAAATAACTTATTTTATTCATGTGTTTCACTTATACATTTTTGCCAAAACATCAGCCTTATACATTCCATTAGACAAACCACTTATAGGTCCTATAAGAATGCATAAAAGGTATGTGTGACCGATTATACATTTCATTTGACACATGATCTTCATTAACTTTTTACAAGGCGTCTGTTTATTAGCAGTAATTGAAACTTGCCAAAAGGTATCAGGAGGTTTCTATCCATGCAATGTTTTGACATTAAATATCTGGGTTAAAATTACACATGACAATTTAATGCTCACTGCGTGTTTATGATCATTTATTCAATTATATTTTATATTTTATTGCAATATCTTTCGTGGACCTTTCATAGCATCGTAATGTTTGTTTACTTTGCACGATAGGCTGCCAGTTTGACAGTTCAATTGGTAGCCTTGGTTTCACTCTTGGCATGACTTTCTTTGCGGCTTTCAGCAGCATCAAGAACTGGATCTCATTTCAGGGTGTTGATGTACATACGAGTGAATGAAATCAACATCGAGCGTGTTAACTCTAAACCAGGCTCTAAACTAAGTTGGCGCACGAAACTATCGACCTGGGTGCATGCTCGGGTGCATGCTCGGGTTCATGGAACCGAAGACATCATATCAAGAAGACTGGCAACTTTGCCAGAATCCAAGCGACAGATACAATAGGGCTGCACTTGAGTGAAGGTGGAACAACGCATAGAAAAATGAGCAAATACACAAACCTTTCTTCTGAGGATGTAATATTTGCTATCAAATTCGTTCGAAGCATTTACCTTTGAGCGACAGCCCTAATAAAATTGTTATGGTTATTTTGCTAAACGAGGTGATCGAGTTATCATCCAAACCATTTGTGGAATAGTTCTATTATTTGGGTTATCATTCGTTTATGGTATTTTTTATTAGGAAGATGACGTGATTGTATCTGTCTCATAGCGTTTGTATTAGAAAATGGAAGAGTTGCCAGTCTTCTTGATTTGTTGTCTTCGATGGAACTCAATATTGTAATATTCAGTGGTTTTTATATTGTCGCTAGACTTGGAAACCGAAATGACCCACTCGCGACAATCGATTTTACTCTCGTTCTGTACGTTAAACATAACGTCTCATCTAGTGCGAACTATAGCACATCATTTAACGAATACAGCGCAATAGATGCGACGTTATGTTTAACGTACAGAACGAGAGTAAAATCGATTGTCGCGAGTGGGTAATTTCGGTTTCCAAGTCTAGCGACAATAGAACGCGTGGCCTTTCGGTTTTTCCGAAAACAGGAGGTTATTTTGCTTAACGACGTGTCCAAACCTTTTTTAGAATAGTTCTATCATTTGGGTTATAGTTCACCTACGGTATTTTTTTATTAGGGTGGGATGAAAACTGCGCCGGCTAGAGCAAAGAGCGCGTGAAAAATTGGGGAAATTCTCCAATATTAGAGCAACCGTAAGGTACGCTGCTAAACTCATTTTAGCAGCCCTCATCATATCGCAACTACCGTATCGGGGGTTGCCATACGAGTAACTAAAATAGCAGTCGGCTTCTCGGTGAGAAGCGCGTTACCAAATTTAGCAGCGCGGGAGAAAGGTTGTTTTTCGTAGAAATGTCAAAATGCTCACTACCGGTACGGACTACGGCGAGTAAATTGATAACCGCGATAGCAGCGACCGGTGTGGAGAAGAGTGTCTAAACTAAAATGAGAGCGCTGTGCGCTGTTAAAATAGTCGCGCAAATGACAACGACCGTTAAGGCCCACGCACACTCGCACGCACATTAGATCAGGATCGGACGCGTTGCGGCAAAGTGACAGCTAAATCTATTGTCTAACTGTCAAATTTACGTCAACGCAACGCAAACGGATCTAATGTGGGTGGTCCCCCTAATAAAATATGTAAGGTTATTTTGCTTAACGACGTGTTCAGGGTATCATACCATCCATTTGTGGAATAGTTCAATAATTTGGGTTCTGGCTCGGGTATGTTATTTTTTTATTAGGGCCTTTACGGTTGCTCTTAGTTACATTATTCTATCCTACACACAAACAACGAAAATTGTATTAATAAAAATAATGCATTTTCATTTTAAAATTTTCCCAAAATTCTTAGTTTCAACAGCAAAAATATTCAAAATAAAAGTTGGATTTTTTAATTGAAAGTTTTTCTTTTACTTTTGATTCGTGATTTTAAAAGTACATATTTTTAAAACAAAAGTTGTTCAACTGTCAAAAATACCCCTCAGCGATGTTTTTACTGGCTGCACTGGAATCTTATATGCCGCCCTTTTCACTAGTCTGGCCGCTGTAAACATGAAATCCAGGTAAGAAGCTACAACAAGAGTCATGTTCTTTTGTGGGATACCAGAAACTGAACTGTTATTAGTTAGATATTCCGAAATTATTCGCTGCTATAGAGACCCTCGTGGAGACTCATGTGAAATTGACATTCCAAATGGTAAGTAAACTATTTTCATTGTTATTGTTATTGGATTTTAGATTCTTTTTTATATCAGATTATGAAATCTGTCAGGACGACATCACGCCAGGTTTCGGTATCGACCTTATAAAATTCCTGTCGGAGAAGGATCAAACCCTACTACAAGCCTCGGAAAAACGAAAATTCAGCTTTGATTGGGAGAAGGACGAAAACCCGCTGCCCGTAGAATCCGTCACCAGTTGGTACTTTCTGCAAATGGAAAACAATACCAAGCTTGCCTTGTCAGTGTCTGGATTCTGTGTTCCTCGTATCAACCCTCACTTACCGGGATGTCTACCTGTGTCTCTCTGTGAATTTCGTTACATAATTGTTAATTACACAGCAAAAAAAAATGTAATATCAATCAACGTAATTCAAGCTGATGTATGAAATAATGATGTAATAGCAAAAAGCAGATACAATATTACATCAATGGATGTAATTTTGTTCGCAAAATCGATGTACATCGTACAATGTGATATTACACAACCGATTGATTGACCTGGTTGCAGCAGTTTCGATGTAATATTCAACAACTTTTTTTGCTGTGTAGTTGAAAAGGAAATGAAAATAAATACATTTTTGATCTGTTTTGCATAAATTAAATATTGTTTAGAATTTAAAATGAAAAAAAGTGATATTACAATGAAAATGCATGTTTTTAATTTCAAAATTTTGTTTTTCTATTTAAAATGTTATTTATTGTTTCAACTATATCACATTTTCAAACCGAACTTTGTTTTGAATTGAAAAGATGCCAATTTTAATTCTACCACTCCCGAGCTTTTAATTTGACAGTAGTACAATTTATTTTGAAAGTTTTAACTTTTGAAAGTAGTGAGCGGTCAACTTTTGCTTTAACAGTTGGCTGACTTTTGTTTTGAAAGCCAACCGCTTTCTACCAAAAAGAACCAATGCAAACTTTTAATTCTACCAATGGTTTTATTAATTTTAGCAACGACTTTTCTTTGTGTGTAGGGGCATCCCACTCTAAACTATAGCTCTAGTATCAATTAAGTTTTTCCAAGTATCTGATAAGTATTCTTAAGTATTTTTAAGTATTTTAAGTTATTTTTTTAATCGTAGTAACCAGTTTCTAATGTAGTTATTTGTTGTTGTTTATTCCGTCAATGCATTAATTCAATCTGTTAAAATTAAATGAAGTAGTGTAATCATGTTTATAAGTAAGTACTTTAATTGTACTTATGAAATAGATCATCAAAAAACAATTTTCTTTCAGCGAACCTTGGAGCAGGGGCTGCTGTTGGATCGAGATAACCGAATTATTTATGATTACGACCCGGCTGTTCAGTGCGATATCAAAGTTTTGAATTCTATTGCTTAACTGGAGGTTAATGGTGCCGTTGTCGTCCAGACTCGCAACCAGATTCCTAACAGACCTTCCTAACCTATCAGTCTGAACTGCCATAATAAAAGCGTATGTTGAACGGAATTTCGGCTTAGAATTACCGCAAGCTGTATGAGTATGGCATTTTTTTACTAGGATACTAGGACTACGCTGGTTATTTGTCAGAGAGCAATAGAAATACAATGAAGCATAACTGCCTTGAAATTGAACTGATTGTAATTGTCACTGGTGGCCGTATTGTGCTGCGTTTTGAGAAACTTACATCGGTAAAGATGAGTTACGACGGACTGGTGAGGGAGTTAAGTGAGTATCCTGATAGTAGCCGAAAGATTTATGTGAAATCAACTTGATTTTCTAACTTTTAGGCTTTGAAACCAGTAAGGATAAGAAGGAAAATATTAATCTGTGCTGTAATATTAATTTATTTCAAACCATTGATATACCAAATAAAACTATGTACTTCAAAAATATTACTTATCTTTTCTCATTTCGAGTAAAATAATCTTAAAATAAAATAGGGGAAATGGCTCTAATGTTGGCCTATGGATCTAAGATTGGCCCATCACTAAAAATATGCTATCTATCAATTATATCTAGATGAACGCGTCATTGGGACGGTACTAATGAATATTTTTGGTCGCTATTGAAAATTCAGTCGATTGCTGAATTTATGTATGAGCCCACATTAGGGGCATTTAGGCCGACATTACATCCATTTCCCCTATATTAATTTATTTCAAACAATTTCCCAAACAATGTTTAAGCGATTCCGAGATTAACACAAAGTGGATATGTTGGTTCGTCATGTCCAGCCTTAATAATAAGCCTTAACCAGGAGAGCATCGAAGGTTCCAATTCCGAGGAAATGTGATTGACTTCTACAATAAACTCATTCGGCGGCAAACTAGGAGATGTGGCTTTCCGGATGCCATAAGTACGGATGGTGCGGAAAGCTTTCACAACTTCGTATTCAGCTTCAATCAGCGTAAATGCCTCAAGTTATCGTCACACGGTCAAGATCCTAATGAAAGAAAAATCTATCTTTATCGATAGATGGTCTTGGGATAGACAAATTTGTTTCGAGGATTTGTTTCCAAATGCACTTTCTTTTACAATAAATTTCCAAAAAGCTCCTTATTCTTCCTTTGAATGACAGGTGAACCAGTTTGGCAATGTCATATTCCTTAAATCAAAATGGTCTCCTTTTCGATTCCTACACAAAAGGAATAAATTTAAAAATAATTTTTGAATTTCTAAATACGCGCACACTAAATCTCAGATGACACCGGGTAAATAAACGAATGAAATTTGCCTATCAACGGTGGTAGCAAACTAGTGCTAAATATTTCTTAAGAATTTTTAAGTATTTTCAGGTATCTTAGATATCAGTAAGAACTTTCTGAGTATAATGCGAGAAATACAAAGTTTAGAGTGGGATACCCCTACACAGAAACAAAATCCATTGGCAAAAATACTATATTGATGGTTTAAATTAAATACTCCCACCAATAGATTTGTGCAGAAACGAAATTCATTTAATTTTACTATTTTTTCTATCAAAACTACTATGCCGTTTGAGTAACAATAGTAGTTTTGACAGAATGGTAGTAAATTTGATTATATTTTTAGTCAACTATACTGAAATCATGGTAGATTTAACGGCATTAAGCGTAGTTATACTGAAAATAAGTGTTTTCTGCAAAATAGTATTCCTAACTATGGTCTTTGTTTCAGTGTAGATTCTATCCGTGAAACATTTAAAGTAACGAATTTGTTTCAGTGTATTTATTAGTTCTGCAAAGTTTCGTTAAATTTTACATCGGGCACCTCTAACCGAAATGTCAAATTGCGTTCTCTCTCTCTTCTTCTCTGTCTGTGCGCCATCTTTGATTATTTCTTTTTCTCGTAGACACCGACGTGTTGAAAACGTGTTAAACGTAGCGAGTGTCTAATTTTCACTTTTACAGCAAAATGGTAAGTTAATTGTCAATATTTTTGCCTCAGATTGCAGCTTATTGTGTATACCATTTCGGGAAGTAGTTAGATTTAATGTTATTCAAGTATTTAGTAGATAAAATTCTGGTTAATGTTTTTCTCCAGGCGATCGACCTACGTCACCATTTTGAACGGTTCATTTTTATTTGAAGCAAAATGTATTGTTTCCATGATTTTCTGCGATTTCCGTTGCATTTGTCTTTTTTTTTTGTAAAGTGTAGAACAAAATGTAGTAACACTGCCATACCCGGTGTAAACATTCCTGTGTACCGGATTACTATCCCATTAGCATGGGAAAGTGATCCTAACCTCGAAAGACATTTGACAGTATTTTATTGATGCTTGTTTTCATTCTTTTCTCCCAACAGGGTTTCGTGAAGGTTGTTAAGAATAAGCAGTACTTCAAGCGTTACCAGGTCAGGTTCCGCAGGCGTCGTGAGGGTAAGACCGATTACTATGCTCGCAAGCGTCTGATCGTCCAGGACAAGAACAAGTACAATACCCCCAAGTATCGTATGATTGTCCGTCTGAGCAACCGTGACATCACTTGCCAGATTGCTTACGCCCGTATTGAAGGTGATCGCATTGTGTGCGCTGCCTACTCGCACGAGCTACCGCGCTATGGCGTTAAGGTAAATATTGTTATTGTTTTCGTCAAATCCGGTATAAGCGCTAATATAGTGGTTTATTCTATTCTTAGGTCGGTCTAACCAACTACGCTGCTGCCTACTGCACTGGACTGCTGGCTGCCCGCCGCATTCTGCATAAGCTTCGTCTGGACACTGTGTATTCTGGATGCACCGATGTGACCGGTGAAGAATACTTGGTCGAATCAATCGAAGATGGCCCAGGAGCTTTCCGTTGCTATCTGGATGTTGGTCTGGCTCGTACCACCACTGGTGCTCGTGTCTTCGGTGCCATGAAGGGTGCTGTTGATGGTGGCCTCAATATCCCCCACTCCGTCAAGCGTTTCCCAGGCTACAGCGCTGAAAACAAGAGCTTCAACGCTGAAGTCCACCGTGCTCACATCTTCGGTCAGCACGTCGCCGATTACATGCGCACCCTGGAGGAAGAGGACGATGATGCCTACAAGCGTCAGTTCAGCAAGTACATTGGCCTCGGAATCAAGGCCGACGATGTGAGTATTCGAATCCTATTGTTTGTCTGTAATCTGCCTCTTTCACGTCCATTACCAAATTTCTGCTGAAACAAATTCAGTTACAGCCGATTCCGAAAATGGACCACAGTAAACATGATAATCAGTTCGGAGTATTCGAGTCATCAATCTTGCAAACTTCCTAATTTTTATCAAACATTTACACAGGTCACCTCAGATATTTCCGATTGAACAAAACTGAATGATTTTTTTTTATCGTTCCAGATTGAGACCATCTACAAGAATGCCCACGCTGGTATCCGCAAGGACCCGGTCTTCCACAAGAAGCCGGAGAAGAAGGTCACCAAGAAGCGCTTCAACCTGGCCAAGCTAACCCTCGAAGCCCGCAAGGCGAAAATCGCCAAGCACAAGGCCGACTTCATGGCCAAGATCCAGGCCGATGTCGAAGCCTAAATCTCCTTTTTGCTGTTGCACTCCAGTGGATAACTACAAAAGCTACTCCCAGAAAATCAACGGTGATCTACATCTTCCGCCTGCGATTATCGATCAGTTGGATCGAAGAGCATTACGTTTGCCCACTCTACTATTCTTGTGTTACATTACTTGCTTTATCCGAATTGATGCGCCGCCGAATTCTAAGTACGCATTCTTACAGTTACACCTATCGATCATGTTTAGGAAGATAAGCAATTTGTGTATTTTTGAATAAATGTAATGTTTTTTATTCAGCTGAAACGTGAGAAAATGTTGACTTTTTACTGAAATATTCACGCTCTGGATAACTAATTAGGTTCGTAAGGATTATACTTTTAAGCTAAATAAAAAATATATTGCAAGTTTAAAAATATTAAGATTTTCTTTGTTGGCTTCTGATGGATTTTAACCCACTTTGACTCTTGATTAGAATATGGTTCACCATTCCTTCAACCTTTTACTGGTATAATTGACTCCAAAAGCTTACAAAGCAAACAGAATAGTCTAATTTCTGTGCAATCCAGGTAAAATGAAAATATTCTCTATTCCCTTCAAAACGGAATGCCCAAACAAATTGCACGATAAATCCAATTGTGTTATAAAGTTTTTATGTTATGTTTTTTTGGCAGTGAACCTTAGTAAATGCCTGGCTAATCATTAATATACAGCCAACCAATTCCCGATATATTCCACATAAAGTTGATCGATGTTACAAAACCATCTAAGAACTTACGGACTACCATAACCATTACCATTAAAGTTCACAAATCATAAATAAAACGGTTCTGATATAATACCTTTTCGAAAAAATGTATGGAGAAAACAAGAATTTGGAATGGTAATGGTTTTTAACAACCCATTATTTGTAAGGTTCACTTCCAAAAAAACACAATCCCCCTTATTCTGCGAGTCACGTGACTCTCTCTCACCGGTGAGGTGACAATAGTCACCTCGTGTGAGGTGACTCTCCATTTGATTTGCATGGAGAGTCACCTCACACGAGGTGACAATTGTCACCTCACCGGTGAGAGAGAGTCACGTGACTCGCAGAATAAGGGGGAATACATACGGTTAAAACTTTATCACACAAACGTTCATGTAAAGTTCCATAACCATTTCAGTTAAAGTTTAGCAGGGATTATAAACAAGTTTTAACCATTTTTGGAACGGTCAAATAATGGTTCGCATTTATGTGGGGAATTAAAGAAGATTTTTCGAAGATTAGGTCGTATAAATAAAAGCGTTTACTTTACTTTTCGCGTAAAAAAAGCACGGGAAAGTATGGGGGAGGTAGCTCATCGATTCTTCCGGTTCGCCTTCTAGCATCGTGCTATAAGGTACCAGGCGATAACCAGGATAGCTCGATGACGTCATTTCGTTGGCGTCTGCAATGGGAAATTCTCATAGCAGGCGTTGACGATGGGACGTTGTCGAGTTGTTGAATAGCAACTATCGTGGTAACTCACCGATTACCTGTCGATCTGCCAAATTTGGAAAGACGTCTGCATTGAATTGTCTCATATAATAATATTCCGCCCACTATATCACAAGAAATTGCGAGTAGCTGAGTGGAATGGAGATAAGTTAAGCATTGGGTACAGGACCAAGTCTCCCCTGGGTGGTGCCAGAAGATGAGCGCAATAGAATCATCAAGTTGCCATAAGGCACGGAATGAGACTATTGCATGGCTGGGTAGTCAAAGTCTTCCATTCGTTAGTCATTTCAGGTGGATTAGAACAGGTTTAGAGGGTGGCCGTTGGCCAGATTTGGATTTTTCAGATATAATCCTTAATAGGACCTAGATTATGTAATACACTAGTAACCTCAACTTCTGTCACAATGTTTCATTGTGACTAATCAACACTCAATGGGTAAAATATCAAATTTGCGGTAAATTTGAAAAAAAAGCTAACTTGGAGTGTAGAGCGTACTGCCCACTGGACGATTCTGAAACCTGACCAAGTGAGTGGGTTACGGGTTTATTTGATTGTACGTCATTTCCAAGTTATATATAGATACATTCATACCATTGGCATTTTGTATTTGAGATAAGACAGAGACAGGATGCGGAGGGCCCGCTTAGGGGGAGCGTAACCCATGTTAAGGCTTCCATTTATTAAATAGTTCAGATAGGCTGGAAATGATAGGTTCATCGTGAGAAAATGTACCATATGGTGCCCGTTCACTGATCAAAATTAGATTCAAATCGTCAGGCCCTGCCCTGTAATAAGGGGATTGACGATGATTTGTCAAGTTTCATTTTGCATTTGCAGATAATTGTAAGTTTAGGTTTGCTTCTGTAATTGTAAGATAGATAGTTTGGCTCAATTGAAACATTGAGTTGTATAAACTTGACGAATAATACCTCTAAAATAGTAGTAGTTACAGTGCCGCATTATCTAACAACCACTGCCTGCAACTAATGTTGGAGGGGTCAGCAGGGCTGGTTACGGATCAAAACTAACATAACTCTAACACTGAAATGATCCCGAAACTAACGCTCATTCATTGCACTTTGAGTCATAAAGTAGTTTTATTTATTTTCCTACTAATCTATCTACACACTTAGTTTTTTCTACCGAGCTCGGCTGTGCAGGTCTCGGCGGGGAGGGGGTTTCGCTGAGATCTCGGCGGAAGTGACATTTGATTGCTAATGCCTTTTCTAATAATCTGCCTACGTTTCTTTTCTTTGTTATCTACTTCATCGCTTTTTTATTTTTCTGCTCTTCTTTCCTCTTCTCTTCGTTTGTTTTGTTTGTTTACATATAACTAATACTAATACCTCCTTGTTTTCTCTCTAATTTGTCTACTATAGAGATTGCTGACGTTTATCGTACGCACACTACGTCACGTATACGTATACGCAAAATGTTTTCATCGGGAAAAAAAACTTCATAGCGAAAAATTTTCCCGATGAAAACAAATCACTGACACAATCATACTTTAGCAATCTCTATGTCCCACCATCACGATGAGAGATGAGCTACCGTACATGGTACACGCTCATATACACTCCCAAAATAGTATGCCGCAAGTAAGTATATCACAGAGGCAACTAAAGATCCAGAAACGAAAACCGATAACGCTGAAGATAATGAACTGTGGTGATTTATATGACTAAATAGTATTATTTATTTATACTAACCTAAACGCAACGTGGGGTGACCCAAATACAAAGGATCACTAACCAAAATAATAGACTTATCTTTAGACCTCTATGATAGTATGCCGCAACACTACACCAGCCAGCAAAGTTCAACAATCCATCGTTGCTTATGCCTTTGTTGTCGTTTGGAACCAGTTTTGCGAGGTAGGCGACGATTGTGCGTATTTCTCGCGTAACTTTTGAAAAGAGCCTATTTATAGCCTGAACAAAACGTAAAGAGCAAATTGAAACATTGAACGTCGCGTGAAAGTGGAACTTAATGAAGGCCTAAGTACTTTTTCGTAGTTTTTAGTTTTCGGATTTGAAAGATCGTCGGTTACAGTGGCCTGCTTACTGAGCAGAAAAACGCGGTCCTTACATATCAAAGAGATTTATGGTAAAATCGCTTGTGTATCGTGTATTTTGCGGAACTCGTTGTTGTCGTTGGTTCCGGGTTTGATGGATAAAATTTGAGCAACGGTATTATGTGATATGAGCTGCTCGGTGGCCTTAGAGCAACCGTTTTTGCTTACTGAGCAGAACATCATGAGTCTAATCTCAGGCCCATCCACATTCAAGATTCGTCAATCGTTTTATTTGTTAATATGACTACATGGTAATCAGGGCTTGAAAGGGGATCGCATATCGACTGTGACTGCGTGATCGCGTACGTTTTCTGCATTCAATGTGCGAAGCAAGCACGGCGGTTTGACTGGCAAAATGGCGCAGTCGTTCTGCCTTTTGTCGATTGCTTGTGTGGTGTTTGCCGCAGCAACTCGGTGGAAGCCGATTTTTCAATTCATTCATTCTCCCGCTTATCGTGCATGTTGAAAGTTGAAGCTGCAGAATGACCGGGAGTACTCTGCGTATTTTGTTTTCATTTCTCTTTTCCAATGGTGAGCTATGCTGTACGAGTCTCCCGATAAACGCGGTAGGAAATATGTTATATTCACCGCTATAACTCGGCTGTTTTCAAACCAATCGATCTAATTTTTAATATTTGAAGTCTCTGGTTAATACTTTTTACGTACAAAAATGAAATCGACTTCTTTCTTCCTACCGAGCCGAACAATGAATCAGATCCTTTGTAACATTGACAGATTCTCTTTGTCGATTTTATCTTTGCATGGCCATAAATATTAATTTCCAGCTATTTTCAAATCACAGTTTGATAAAAGAAGGTATTATCAGCAACGGTTTTGTAGCCAAGTAATTAACCGTTATGTGATCGACAAAAAAAAACACCTTTAGGAGCTCGACAAGGTACTTCCACAAATTGAAATACTTGCTACTACGGTCAAATTTGATCGATTTTGAATCTTTTGGCACCATAGGATTCAGAAACTTGTCTTCTTTCTGGACATTGCCAACAATGTCCATTCGGAATAGTCTGGTTCCCAGAAATCCGGATTTCTTGTATAATGTTCCATAACTAAGCATTTTCTTGCCTCTCGCTAGAATATTGAAGGAATCGATATCAAAGTAGAATCTCCTTCAAGAAACAATTTCAGCTTACTTGAGGACCAGTTTAAGGTTTCTCCCCGGAACGGCCATTCCGGCGCAGGTTCCCGTAGGGCCTCTAGTGGCCATGGAAGAGTTTTGGAAGAAACCCCTACAATATGGGTATCAAAATTCATGAATTTACAGCAGGAGACTGTTTATCATGATTTTGTGATCATCCGATGGATTGTCCCGGAGTTGGTTCCCGTAGGGCCTCTAGTGGCCATAGAAGTGTTTGGAAAGAAACCCCTGCAATGATTTTTCAGATTTTGCTCCACCTCCGCCAAAGTAGGTCCGTCCAGATTATTCTTTTGCGTTTGAGTTGTAATTTGCTTGTTATTTCATACCACAATAGCCTTTCGAGGTTTAAATGGCAATTACAAGGGAAAAAAAATATTTTGTTTTATTTTCTTCGTTTTAGCCTTTTTCCAAAATGATATACGGGTATGCATACTATCTTTTCTTATGTAAAATTTGGAGACCACTTTTTGAAAGAACTTTCTCAAATTTTCTCGTAATAATTTCCTTATAAAAATCAAAGAGAAGTATAAGATCGCAACCAAATGGGTTCAAATTTCTGGAGAATAGTCAGAAATTATAATCGATTGAGCAGGGTAGAGCAAAAT